TCTCTCTCTCTCTCTCTCTCTCTCTCTCTCTCTCTCTGTATGCATTTATGTATGTATGTACACTATGTTTGTGGATGTTTGTGAGTGTGGGTGTGGTTGGGATATTTTTGGTGGGGGAGGGTATATATTAAGTACACACAGGCAATCTTTTTGCTACATTTTTATTTAAAATTTGTTTGCTGTAACCCATTAGTCTTATCTTATGTTACGCAAGTACGACAACAGACTCACGCTTTGTTGTCAATTCTAGATTGACTCCTGGGAGGTTTCCATCCCCACTGCCAGCAGTCGAGATTTCCGTGACTAATTGATTGGACATGTCCTACGTACCAATCGGAGAGGTTTAGACCATTTCGGAGACAGGCTGCTTGAGACAAGGTCAACTTGAGCTGATAGGCCGGAAACAACATTCGACCTACAGTCTGACGAAGATGCTCAATATGGTACCTTTCCCATGCTGGAATTGAGCGCATGTCTTCTGCGAGCAACGGTGAGAAGTTGTCATAAAGGCCTAATTTAAATTCGGTTTGCTGTAACGAGTACGCGGCAACTGTTTGCTCCGCAATAAGACAGAAAAACATTGGAGCCCTCTGGGATTTGACCTCGCACCTCAGCGTGTGCGCCAACCTCATAACAAACTGAGCCACACAAGCGTTTACAGTTCAGAAAAATGTGAGTCGTCGCGGTGGAATCAGGCGCTCGTCAAAATTTTAAGGAAAGGAGTAATCAGATTTTTTCTGACTATTAGGCCACTTTTTTCTATATTTTTTTCCGTTTATGTGCACAGAAACCTTCTCCACTCTTTAAAGAACGCATATTTGACTGAATTTTACATAAACAAAAAAATTGTTTTGAAACCAAAAATATTATGCTACGTTGTAGAACGGGTCCGACTACTCAGCTTTACTAGTCGCCAAACTTTGTCGCTAATTTCATAGCAATAGCGCTATGTGCCTAATGCTTGACGAGTGCCTGATTTTATCAGAGAAGGGAGCAACGAGGGGAGAGGAGTGAGCCTTGAGTTTAAAAATAGCTCATTCGAAAAAATAATAGCAATGGAAAATAGCTTAGCGATAAGGATGTGAATGGTTACCCATGATTAATAGAGAAATACTATAACATACTTTTCAGGCGCATTGATGAATAAAATTTTCCCTCCCAGGTGGGGGTTTTCCGTCAAGATTTGTCATATTATTATCACAAAGGGCAGTTTTAGGATCTCTTTGCACGTGACATGCATAGAGGCTGTGTGTTCAATAACGGCCTTTTTGAGATGTGACAGAGACAAAGCTCCTTTAAGGCACGGGGGATATTTATTGAAGAGCCGACACGTCACGCACAGCGCAAATAGGAACTATTGTGATCTCTCTCTCTCTCTCTCTCTCTCTCTCTCTCTCTCT